TGAGCCATAAGTTCGTAGATATAACTAATTGATTAGAATACTAGATGAAGAGCTGATGTGAAATCGAGCCCTCCTTCTAGCGCCAAACTGTTGATGCTTAATTTTGATACCAACGACCTCGCACGTGCAAAGTGCTAAGTTGGCCTTAGAAATTACACGTGATATGATTTTAGAGTTGGGACAAGGTTGGACAATACTATTGAATGCAAAGACTGAATAATAAATAAGACAGAGGATTTTTATAGTGGTTCGGATGCTTAAAGCGATTCATATGTCCACTGTTTCTTTTATATATAAGTATTATAAGAGTTCGTGTTTAGCGAACAACGAACAGATGTACAATGACTGAATACAGAGAATATCAAGTCAATCTCTTTCCCGTAGGTTGTCTTTGCTGTTGAATATTGTGAAAATCAGAGAATGATCGATCTCGATTTTGTGAGGGGGAGTCCTCTATTTATAGCTGTTGAATTTAAGGTAATGATTACAAATTGCAAGTGGTTAGGTGTCGTGCAATTCCTTCCTTGCTTCCCATTGACTGATAACTTAGGAAATATCCTAAAATTATCTAGGGTTTGGACAGGTTTGCGGGCCCCATTTACTTGTAGACAAAACCTAAATCTGTTGGGTTGGTGATAGCTGTATCCTATCTGTCTTGGGACGACGTGGTAGCTCCTGAACGGCACAAAACTTTCTTGAACTCTGATTGGTGCTCGCCGATGTAAGCTTACATCAGTCCTTATTTTTTAGGCATAACACCACTAAACAGTTTGCTTATCCAGGTGGTTCAACTGACTAAGCATAAAGACGTTGCAGCCTTTTCCATTCCAACAATGAGGTTGTTACTTGATCTTCCTTGTTGATCTTCAGGAACTACCAGGTTTGGTAATTGACATTGGAGAACAATCATCATCAACCTCAAGATCCTACATCATTAGGCCTTTCCGTATTTATTTATTTGTTTAACCATATCACCCGAGGTTGCTGCTCACATCCAGTTGCACAATCAGTTCCAAATATATTAACTAACCTCTTATAAGGATATGGGGCATGACTTGTTTCTCCATTTTTTAGTCTCCATGTGGGACTGCAATATTTCCACAAGTTTAAGAATATTTAATAAATTATTAAGTAAAGAGATTGTAACTAAATTTACATCCCAAACATAATCACTATCAACGATCGACCACACTTGAAACTAGAATAATAACCGATATATCAAAACCAAAAAGAAACATGAGGAAAGCAACTAATTCATTAAAAAGTAATCACAATCCATAAGTTAATAACAAGATAACGTTGAGAAAAGATTATTGAACACTTGAAACTCTAAACTAATAACAATTAATAATATGCCAAATCCTAAATTCTATGAACCCATCTTCCCACGCCATTCATTAAACATGTTCTCTGCCAAATCATTCCTCCAATTTGTCCACTCATCAGAAGATTCAATTGTGCCTATGGTATCCTCATTGTTAGTTTCATTGTTCAATAACTTCATTCTCTAATGGGTCTACTCTTCTAATAAGATCATGCGGTAGACAACACACAATAATTAATATTATGCGGCATTGTGTGTTTGTTGGATAAAAAGATGGACTACGTAGAATAGCCCATTGATTCTTAAGTAAACCAAAACATCACTCAATAACATTCCTTGCAGATGAATGTTTCATATTGAAAAATTCCTTTTTGTTTCCAGGTGCACATCCATCTTTCCAATCTGATAAGTGAAATCTCGTTCCTCTATACAGTGCAAAGAATTCCTCAACATTTTTATATTTTGCATTTATAAGCGGGGAGTAGACAGGATTTTTCGTGGGTTCAAAATATTTAAATTGATAAATTTACAATAAAATTTTATAAGATCAATATGAAATTAAATGGGTTTAAAATGCAAATATTACATAATATGAGACATTTTAAAAAAAAAAAATTTAAGTGGATTCAATATGAATTTAAATAATATCAAAATTGTAAATATCATAAAAGAATTTTTTTTTTTTTTTTAATAAATGAAGAGGAAAAAATTTAGCACTTAATGACAAGGGGAAAAAGAAATTAGGTTAAAGTGATGTTTAAACCTACCGCTTGGAACTGTCAAGCCAATTGGTTTACTGGCGTAAAGTCTGGTGCTTACATGGGTTTGTTGGGTATGGGTTTTTGTTACTGTAATATTTTTAAAAGATTTTAATTTTTTTGTTTTAATTTCCTTTTTGTGTAACGTGATTTAAGATTCCGATCATGACGATGGCCTTGTCTTCTGTATATATGGCAATTGTCGTGCAATTTACAACTATTTGGCAGTGGCCGTGCAATTTGTGTGCAAGCTAGACACGGTGCACTCGTTTCACTATTTTGATACCTTTTAGAATAATATTTTGAAAAAAATAAAATTGGATGGGTATTACGATGTATGATTTGAAAATTAACAAAAATACCCTCCTATGTTTGTTTATTTAATAAAATATTGAAAATTAACAAAAACACCCCTACCCACCCATTAAATACCGACAGCCAGTCACCTGTTAGGAAACGATCATACATGGCAGCAGAAAAACGAAATTTATTTATATCATAGATCGTTCCTTAGAACTAAGATCAGGGCACAAATTTATAGTTTATACATAATTTTAGAATCTGCAGAATTTCAGTTTAGAGTTTAAGAAATCATATGCACGTTTGGAGGCTCCTCCAATCTTGTCTCTGAACGTATTTTACTACCGACCCAAGAATAGGATCGAACGAATATAGTCCACACGAAGATAACCCCAAGGAACTAAAAAGGGATTTACTAGATCCTCTTTAGCCTTTAAGAACTAAGAAGAAATTAATCAAAAAAATTTCCCAAACCAAAGGAATCTGGCGTGGGAGAGAATGAAAAGGGGGCTGGAGTTTTTTGTTTTGAATGAAATAATAAATCTCTCTTTTATTTCACAAAGTGTTGCACTTATATAGTGCAATACTATATCCTATTCCATCATGGAATAGACTTGGGCACCAACCTAAACAACCCTTTGTATCCAAACAGTCTCTTTAAGATATTTTATTTTAATTATCATTATCTTAATTCAATTCAATTAATATATATAATATATTAACATTTAACAATAATGATAATTTGTTTCAATATATGCGAACACATATTTAAACGTAATCTCATTTATTTAATTTTAATATCAAATTAAATAAAGGCTACGATCTCAACAAATTTAATTGCATTGTGAAATTACCAAAATACTATTTCGCCTAAAAAGATGAAAAACGCCGTTCTTGTAAACTGGTTCTTAAATTATCTTCTATGTGTGTGACCCGCAGGCTCCTTATCATACCGGTAGTGTGTAGCATCACGATTAACACCAATTAATCGTCTCACTACACACAGACCAAGATTGACCCCTAGCAAGGCATCATGGCCACCCGATAGATTCACATTCAGCGAAGCAGCTACCTGTCAACGATATGGTTACCGTACAATCCGATCCTTTCATCATTCGTTATCTCGATGAGTCCGGGGCATAGAAATAGTGTCAACCTCGGTTACTCTCGATATTATGTATTCAGTTACTGGACCAATAACCTGTATTATAAACTGGATAGAGCAACAACTCAATCCCACTGTGGCCACAATTTTAGTGTCATTGCCATTTACTGAATTGCGCCGTGAGATAACCTTCCCCCGTACCCGGGAGTGATGAATCCTCTGTCGATCCACCATAGTCTTGATACACTCCTTGATGCAGCCAATCACTACCGTATTGACATCTCTAAATAAAACTGCGTTAAACTAGTGTCAAACTATACTAATGGGTGCACAAGGCGCTCTGGTGATCTCAAGTCTAAGGATCACATGCACCACCATTCATTAGAGGATTTGTTCCATAGACACTGGGGTTACCATCCATATGAAATCCTCTGATGGGTCAGTCTAGTGAACTTGCCTACAGCAAGCACCCATGTGTTACACCAGGTTGTCACCAAACAACCTTGACAAGTGAGATCAATCACTGCCTTTCGACAGGGTCGTTCAATACTATGATAGCCTTACCATATTATTTGTGCCCTTACTTCAGAATAATACTGGGGCTATGGAAGTTTCTAGAATGGTCACCATATGTGCTCATAGGGTTCTCACCATTAAGATTTGAAACACTTGATACCCTCGTCACGGTTCTACCATTCTAAGGACATATATCAATACATACAATGATGATTTACGCGATATAGAATAAAATGCATTTTTATTGATCAATGAACATTATTACAAAGAGTCAATTTTACAATAATTGATTGGCTCTAGAGCATCTACTCTAACACCACCACCGCTGGAGGGTGGTCGGAGTCGCCTTATCGGCGCACGACCGATTGGATCTGGTTGGTTGTGCGCCGATATGACATTTTTCAGCCAGATCCACGGTAGATCTAGTCGGAAAAGGCCAGATCTACGGCTAGATCTGACCATATTTGGTCATCAAAGACGGCCATATCTTGGCTGTCGTTGATGATTGGCTACGGCCAAAGATCTAGCCGGCTTTTTCCTGCGAGATCCATCGTGGATCTGGCTAGAAAAGGCTAGATTGATGCACTACTAGTCAGATTCAGCTGGTAGTGCACCATTATACTAGATTCCGGCTAACTTCTGATAGTGGTGGCCGGAATCTGGCAATGTGGGTTGTTAGGGTGTTTTTGTCAATTTCTAAATTTTTTTTTTTTTTTTTTTTTTGTGGGGTGTTTAGTTAAATTAACAAATTTAAAGAGTTTAGAAAATTGAATACAATTTAAGGTTTAAAAGAGTTAAATAATATAGAATATATTTTGAGATAGAAAATAAATTGTATTTTTGAGAATATGTAATAGAGAGTAAAAATTGTGAAACAAGGCCTAAGATTTTTGTCGGACAAATTCTTTAATTTCTTTTTTAAACTCTTTGCAGTCAAATTTAGCTCAGTTTCAGTCGGAGGGTATTATTGTCTTTGTATAAACTCTGAGAGTAAAGATTCCATTAATGACTTGTGAGCTTTAGGCGTTTATATCCTAGCATTTAAACAACCCGATCTTGACCAAAGTTGAAAAAAACTCCTCTCTCTTCCATGGTGAAACCAATAAACTTCCAAACAAAACCCACCTATATATTTGTTTTGATTTCTTTTTATTCTGCATTGTGATATTAGTTTGTGATTTTAGAGGGGATGGTGCTTACTTAACTATGTTCAATTATTTCAGGAGTGTCAGTGTTAATTTCAAGAACCAGTGGTGAGGTGCACTATTTTGTCCATAATCATCTACTTGGAAACAAAAAGCAACACACCAGCCACTGCAAATTTTGCAGCTTCAGTAGAGACCAAACTATTATTGTCGTTGCGTCTACATTTGCCAAAGATGGATTTGGCTATTCCTTTACACGCTTTTATTCCTTCGGTAAACTCGGTAAGTACTTAGTCTTTTTTAACACAAGTTAATCATTCAGTAAATCCAAATTTATTTCAAGAACTCATTTGTGTATTGTACGCAGGTTGCTGTTTTAGTTACATATTTTTTGTACTTGGCAATTGCTGGATCTATTTTACCTGGTAAAGTTGTTAACGGGGTTGTATTACAAGATGGCACTCGACTTCATTATCGATGCAATGGTTTGTTTTAATAAGTTGTTTGCTTACTCATTTGCTCAAGTTCTTTAGAATTTTGATGTGTTATGTTTTGGATTTTTAAATGTTTCAAATGGGTTAACTGTTTTGTAATAGGTTTGTTGTTGCTTGTATTGTTGGTTGCGCTACTTGGAATTGGTGCCCAGATGGATTTCATATCACCTACTGTAAGTACTTGCTTCTCCGTGTTTATCCACTGGCTTGTAATTATATAATCGTCTTCAATTCCTAAAATTACTTATGGCTCTGTGTGTTTTATTATCTTATAATTTGTAAATAGGATAGTATGATGTTGAATAAACATTTAGATAGTGTATCTGGCTTGAAATACAGATTTTTAAATGTTGTATGCTGTGTCATGAGTATTTTTGAAACTCAGAGTAGGTGTTGTCGGGTGAAATGGTAAAAGTTTCAAAGTGATAAACTTAAGATTATAGGTTCAAATTTGTAAGTATAAATGAAATGTTTGGACAGTCCTCATTGGACTGGACTTTTGATGGTGCATATTTTTGTCCTTTTTCTAATTAAATTAGGTTTATTGTATTATTTGTCATTTATGTGAACTTGAAATGCATTCTAGAAAGTTCAATAGGCAACAATTACATCTTTGATTGTTTACTTCAGTTGATTATGTGCATAATTGTGTATGTGCAGACATGTGCTCTAATTTATGATGATCTTGTAGGTGATATCAGATAGAGGACTTGAGCTGCTATCAACAACTTTAATGTTTTGTTTTCTTGTAAGTGATGTAGTTTCTTCTTTGGTGCCTGGAAAGTTTGGTATGTGGTTGTCTGTTTTGTAGTTGTTGAATGAAATATACTTATGCATTTAATTGGTAAACATTATTCTTGAGTGCATGCATGCTCTTATGTGTCAGCATCTTTCTTCAAGTTACCTTATCATAACTTATAGCATTATATGTTATGAACTTCGTTGAAGGTTGAATTTGCATTCCGACTCAAATCATTTAATTATAATTTGGGGTGTCTCCGTAGAGCCACAACCTCAACCGTGTAGATTGTAACATATGAAGATTAATTCGTGCTTTGCTAAAATGAGTTGATTGAGAAAGTTCTGCTGGTACTTAAAAGATGCTGAGTGCCTAGGGGTGTTCAAAAAAATTCAAAAACCGAACCGAACCGAGAAACCAGTTCGGTTACGGTTCAAAGAATTCAAAAAACTGGATTTTAGGTTTGGTTTCCGGTTTGGGTGAAAATGCAAACCGGTTAACCAAAACCGGTTTACTAATATATATATATATTATTTATATTAAATTAAAAAAAAATAATAATCTTAATGGATATTATATATTAAAATAAAATAAAAAATTAAATTTATTTGTATCAAATTTTAATGTATTGTTAGTTGTGGTCAATGGATATGTATGAATGTTTAATTTTTATTTGGATATGTGTTGTTGATGTTTACAATTTAATTCAGGAAAAAAAAAAGTTTAATCCAATTTAAGGGGAAAACCGGTTAACCAGTTTTTTCAAAGCGGTTAACCGGGTTTTCGGTTGACCCAAAAACCGGTTTTCTTGAACCGAAAAACCGGTTCGGTTCAAAAAAGCAGTTAACCGGTTCGGTTTATCGCTTTTGAACACCCCTAGAGTGCCTCATTGATCTTTAAAGAGACATGAGAAGAAATGACTTCAGTATAGACCATCAAATTTTCATTTCTTTTGTTTACTGTCTTTTATCTATTTCAACCTTGGCGAGACCATGACCTCCATTGTTGTTTGCAATCATGTTGATTAATTGATTACTAAGAGGGAAAAGTATTCTTTCTTGACTTTTTAGATGCATACATCATGCAGTA